TGATGGTTGCTGGAGACTTTATTATGAATTCTTACCAACTTTGATGTAACAGCTTTGGAACTTAGTGGGAGGGATCTAATTTTAGCTTGGGGAATTCATTTTTAAGAGGAGTACTTGTCCTTTAATTTAGTCTGTAAACTCAGTAATATATCTTCTTGACTCAATAAAGTATCCATTCAGATATGAGCAGGGTTCTTGTATTAACAAGAAAGGGAAATTCTGTTTATGTCACAGGTTTCCCCCATGCAATTCAGAATGCTGCGCAGAAAGACTGGAGTGGGGCTTAGAGCCAGTAGCACCTAACAGCACGAGCACTTAGTATTGTTTGTGCTTTTAAAATTCTACGTACATAGTGTCATGCTATACATGTCCTTGATTTTTTAATTAACTTTATATTTCTGAGATCTATTCATGTTAATACAAGTGACATTATTCATTTTAGATACAATATTGTGTTTAATCATGACATTTCAGCAAGAAAATTGGTGAAGTTAGAAACATGGATAGCATTGGAACATTACTTTCTTTTTAAGATTTATTTTATGCATACAAGAACTGGAGTCAGGCCAGAGGTGTTGGGGGTGGTGGTGAGAGGATTCACTAGAGACAGAACATTATTTTCTATCTGGCCTTTGACAGAGAAAGTTTGCTGATTCTTGATCTTGCTTGTTGACCTCAAACAAACAAAAAAAAAAAGTGGGTTATTCTGAAAACAAACAGGGTTTATTCAGAACCTGTTTCAGTACCCCACCAGATAAATGTTTGTCTTTCCCTTTTGCCCCACCAGAAACTCTCCCATTTCCTTTATTTACCCTCTAGGCATAACAACCTTGCCTTTACATTTCAAGGTACTTTACATTTCAAGAATATCCCATTTCCTTTATTTACCCTCTAGGCATAACAACCTTGCCTTTACATTTCAAGGTGCTTCAAAGAAGCACCCAAATGCTGACCACCTGGTGATAGCAACAGCAAACTGACACCACCCACAACCTTCCCCCCAACCTTCAAAAGCTTGTGTCACAAGGATGAGGTATGGACCCCTGCCCGCCCTCCTCCCTCCTCCTTACTCCCTTGTAACTCTGGATAAATACTCTAGCACTTTGTCAAAAAGCAGGAGAGTGGTCTTTCAGACAAGAGTTTGCTGCCCTTTTCAATTTGTCAGCAGGTTTAAATATTTTCCTTCTTCTCTAACTCCTTTTCCTTTTATTGACTAAGAGAGCCAATATTGTTAGTCAGTAGCAAACCCACACCCGCCTAGATTCCAGCCAGGACTGTTGCTTACAGGGCTGCACCCAGCAAAATCTTGGGGGGTCCAACCCCTACCCCAGTGAGTGTGTAAGGTGAGACCTCTGCCCAAGGGGCCTTAAAGCTTTGAAATCGCTGAGGACCCACCACCCTTTCCTTTGTTCCTGTTAAAATGGGAATTCTATCCTATGCTTCCCCACCTTTGCATTTTTGCACTGGTTTCACAGATGCACACCTGGAGAACAATTTGCTTAATTAAGAAAGGTTATCTCACCCAGATCTCATCTAGGTGTCATTGGAATGAGGGAAGAATTTATCTTCATATGAAGTTATCCTCTTGAAGTTATTTCTAGGGGGGAGTGAAGGATAACGTATTATCAAACCCTTTGGGAGACTCTGAAAGTTCTTTTGCAGATTGTGACCAGAAACTTTCAACAGTCACTCCTAACATCGCTGTATACATGTGCTTTAAAAACATGACTTACCTTGTACCTTGATACAGCACGAGGGGTGTTACTGGGTAGGGGGAGAGTCACCGCTGAACCCCCAAACCTGCCTGCTCCAAATAGTTTCTGCCATCCACCGCATCAAGACAAAACATACAAGATTTTAATGAAAAGGAATTTTAATACAGTGAGTATACAACACAGAAGACAAAGAATATATTTTCTAAATCAAACACTTGAAGTTAGCCATCCTCTCGTGGGCAAAAGCCAGCCCAAAAGGGATTGGCCCAAAGCAACACCTGGAAAGCCCACCACAAGACTAAAGCACCTTCTGGCGGGGACCCATGGAAAAGGGTCAGAAATGGCTAGACAAGTCTGGGAGGAAAAGAGCAAAATCAAAATCAATATAAACACTGCCACAGTCACCTCTACAGGTCTCTCACCCACATCTGTTTCAACCAGTCCAGGGCCAGGAAACAAGCACAGTTTCTTCATCACATGCTTGCTGCTCCATGTGACTTCCTCGGGTCTCCTTCTGGCTCTCCATCCTGCTTCCTTCTTCCAGATTCCTTCTCTTCTCTTGTTTTTTCTGCTCAGCTCCACCCTCCTTCTGGGTTGCTGGGAACCTGGAACTTCCACTTTTCCTAGGGACCACCCTGTTACAGGGGAAAGGGGAAATATATTCCCTGGGGGTGGCAACCACAGTCCTCGCTTCCTCTCAGAACCATACAGAAACCCAGCCAACCTCTTCTATACTCTGGGGAACTAATTTGGTGCCACTCATAAGTTGCCATCTTTCCTCAATATCAAGGGGAAGAAACAAATCAAGCAAGTCAGTCAGTCAGTCATCAAAAGGTTAATTTTGTTGCATTAATCACTGACCCTAGCCATACCTTCATCTTCAAAGGGTCCACAGGTAATAATTAACCTAAATATCCATTGCCTAAAATTAAACATAGACAAAGTTGCTAGGACTCAGCTTTTAGAGACAGTTGAAAAAAATCGACTTGGGGGAGCTCTTTAAGCAGGTGCTTTTAGAATACATAAATAAATAACCCAACTTAAAAATTGGCAAAGATCTGAACAGATACTTTTCCAAAGATGATGTATGGATGGCATCAAAGTATGAAAAGAATGTTCAATAGCATTGTTATTAAATGTATATTAAAGCCACAAGCAGATACCACTACATGTCTAATGGTTAAAATTAAAAAAAAAAAACCTGACAATATCAAATGTTGGTCAAAATGTAGAACAATTTTGTGCAGCTAAGAATGCAAAATAGTGCTGCAGCCACCTTGGAGGATAGTTTGGCAGTTTCTTAAATAGTTAAACTTACCATAGAACCCAGCAAATTCACTCCAAGTGAATTCAAAATTTAAGTTCACACTAGCCTATATATGGAAGGCTATAGCAGCTTATTGATAATTGACAAAAACTTGAAATAATTAGGACAGATGTTTTAGGATTGAAACAAGAAACATGCTAGATAACCCTACAGCATCTTAGAGTATTAGAAAATACTGAAACACTCCATTAACAAAAGAATGGTTGTACAAGATGAATGTGCTTCTTAATAAAGCTGAACTCTATACCTAGAGATGGTTAAGGGAGTAAATGTTTTGTGTCCTTACCACACAAATAAAAAGATGAGATTCTGACAGAGGGACACAAAAGCTAATCTGAAAGTGCTCCCTATGGGAACTGGGACAATTTGGACTACTGCTCTTCTATTAACATGATCATTCACTTGCCAACCATTTATTGATCCACTACTCTATACAGTCCTTTGTCAGTTCAAAGGGAAAAAATGGCACATAGGCAGAGCATGACTAAGAGCAGTATATTTTAATATGCAAATAAATACACACTGACTGAGTTTTCTCATATTTCTCAGTTCCAAGTCCCCACCATTTGGGTTTTTGTTTTGCTTTGTATTAGGAGTGGGGGCAAAATTTTTCCTAACTTCAGGGGTTATGAGTGGTTGCTTATAGTCCCTCTACTGCAGACAGCTATGACAGGTATTCCATGGCTTATAACATGACCCTTCTCAAGTTTTGCTTTCCCAGCAAAGCAAACTAGATTAGGAAGGGGCCATAGGTGAGGGAAATTCTACTGTTTGACAATGCAGAGGGGTTGTCATTGAAATGCAGTGGAAGCTAAACTTTCCCAGGGCTGTCTGGAGGCAAAAATACTAAGCTGCACTAGCCGATATGATAGAAATAACCCTTCCAGCGTGAAATGCTTATTTGTATAAACTCAGAATAAATGAAACTCAGAATGGACACATAAAATTGAGTCTCAGATGCTAATTCCTTAAAAACAGTTTTCTTCTGGTTTGATTTTTTAATCTGTTTTATTTAACATTGTTGAGCTTTGTTTTTGTGATGCTTGTTATATTTCAAAGTGAAAACTTGCGGGCAGCAGATTTAATTGAGACTTGTTATTCTATTCTCTATCCTCTGAGCAAATTCCCTAACTAAAACTTGTAAGTAAAAATGTGATAGCAACAAATTATTTATTGGGGGTAGAATACTTCATAGATAACAATATGTACTTCAAATTGCTTCACATCAGAGTACATGTATTCTTTTGTCTCACCATTAGTGATGGTCAATTGACCCTTGGCAAAGCAAAGGCAGTAACTAGGGGTTTTAGAGGCAACACCAGAAAAGGACAGAAGGAACAAAGAGGCAGGGAAAAAAAGGGAATACAACCTGGCTATTTAAAGGAAGTGAGACGAGAAACCCAGCAGCAGCAGTCGGGGGAACACCAAGGAAATACAGTTAGGCTTCCAACTCTGGCATGGCTAAGATTTTGATGATTCTCTGATCTTCTCACAATTAGAACAGGCAAAGCACAAAAACAAAAAAAGAACTTGGGTTCTCCTTGATTCTTTGGGACAGACGATTATTGAGCTAAGCGGACACGGTATTCAGTTCACAGAAAGCCAGTATCCCTCTCCTCTGTATCTGGAACAGGAACTATGAACCAAAAAATTATAGGCAGCTCAGTCTGTGCATTCATCCCTATTCTTTCTAATAGCAGTCCTTTCACTGATTCAGCCACTATGAGGCGCTGCAAGCAAGCAACCGTTCTTTGTGACAAACGGCAACGCGTCTAGATGAATATTGTCCAGCCCAGGGTCCCGTAGCGAGGTGTCGCGGCTAAAGGAACTGTATTTCTTTTCTCGCGCGAGTAGAATAGGCACCGCCCGCACTCCGCCTCCGGTCCCGTCGCCCCGCCCTCGCGCGCTCAGCCCCCTCGCGGTGGTTCGCGCTAGGTGGCGCTGTCTGCGGCGTCCCAGCCGCGTCTACAGTCGCGGCGACGATCTCCCGGCCGGCAATGCGGCCCGGCTCTCGGGCGGCTGCGAGTGCCACGTCCCAAGTGCTACGCGGAGGAACCGAGCGGGTGGTGCGCTGGGGGTGGGGAGCAGCGCGGAGCCCGGCCCGGTCACACTGATCGCCCGCCGCCATGGGGTCCTCGCAGAGCGTCGAGATCCCAGGCGGGGGCACGGAAGGCTACCACGTCCTGCGGGTAAGGGCTCCGACGGCGACTCCAGAGCGGCGGGTTGAGGTGGGACGCGGCCTCTGGGAGAGGCGAGGCCCCGACGGGCCCCTTTCCGGGGCGGTCAGGCCGGACCCCGCTCAGGAGCGGCAACCTTGGGCGCTGCCTTGACCAGTGCTGGGTCCGGAGGCAGCTCGCATCCTGCCGCCCCAGCGCGCCTGCCCGGGGCCCGGGGTCTGCCGCCCTGAGTGAGCGAGCTGGAGCCAGAGGCGGTAGCCGGCGACTCGGCCGAGGCAGCCGGGGCGGGAGTGGAGCAACCTTGACTCCTTTTCCTTCCTCGCGGCCTTCTCTTCCTTCTACACACAAGACCCCCACCCCTGATTCTCAGTTCCCAAAGTTAGAAAGTCTTGGGGGCAAAGTCTACAAAAGAGGTGGTGAAGGTGGCATTTGAGTTTTCTGAGAGAAAGAAGCCCAGAGCCCGCAGGTTGGAGGCGGGGATGCGACGGCAGGTGTTAGTTCTCCTGTCTGGGTGTCGGGAAAGGCCACTCGGGCAGACCGGAAGCAGAATGGCCTGGAACTAGGTTGACGGACTTAAATTGACTGGATTTGGTCAGGACCTTTACATCTTCTGTGGCGGCATCTGACCTCTCCAGTCCTCTTCCACCTTTCCTGAGGAGGTGGGAGGGCTTAAACATTCTCTCTTGAGGCTGCTGAGGGTGTGGAGCAGATAGAGGTTTAGATCCACAGTAGCAAAAGAGGTCTTGGAAAGGGGCGTTTCTGTGAAAATAATCAAGGTAAGTGAAGGAAAGTCACCTCAGTTACCGCCATGCAGGGAAACCGGAATTTCAGAAGCTGTTGTCTGAGCCGCTGCTTGTGAGCATCCCCGATTATTCAAAGCCTGTGGTCCTTTACTCATGGGACTGGCAGTTTTGAAAAGTCGCGTAGGTAGTTGTGTGCTGTGACACCTGCTGAGTGGTAACGTGATGAACTGTCATCAGAGTGGCCCCAGTCTGTAGCGCCATTTCAGAATGTAAGAGAGTGCCACTGTACATTAACTCCTCACAAACAAGAGTATTCTCACCGAAAGAGAATGTGCTACAGAAATTTTCTGCCTTAGGAACTGTTTTAGGTAAGACCGCATTCCTAAACTAAATTACCCACCAAGGACTGGGATCGTTACCTTTCTGGTCTTCAGGGTTATCATGTCTGGTTGTTCTTGCTACTAAATAGCCCTGTTGAAGCCACACTCTGGTAAGAAAGGACAGTTTTTCCAGAAATTCTTTAACCTTCAAACCCAACTCCCTATTGCCACACTGATGGAGGAAATGGAAGATGTGTCAGACCCCAGATGTGATGAGAAAGTTATTTGGCAGTATTTTAATTTTGAGTTCTCAACTCTAGTATGTGTTACCCAGTTTTACACCTAATTCTCACAGTGGCATTCTGACCATGAGTCCTTAGGAATTTTTTATTTGTATGATACAGTGCACTCAGTAAAACACATTCATGTTAACGAACTTTACAAGTCTGTTTGAAAGATAGCTGTCCACATCAAAACTCAACGACCATCTAAAACAATCAGGTATACTTTCTTTACATAGTGCACCTTAGTAAATATGTGCTCATACATGTTCAGTCGTGCAGGTGTGCTATTAATCTATAAACTTCATTTTTAGAACACTAGAGTCAACCTTCACTTCCACTCTGCATCGGTTGTGTAAATGTTGCAAAAGATAAAATGATTCTGATTCATTCAAGTTTTATTAGAAGGAGCTGTAAAAATAGTAGATACGGTAAATAAAACATCATTTAGTTTAGATTTTTTTTAATGTTTCCGAGTCCCTAACCCACTCTGTTCCTGATTCTGCATTTTTTTTTAATCTTTGTTTTTAGAAAGGAAAATAGTTAAATTTCAACATATAAAAATATCTCCACTACATGAAACATTGCCGAAATGTACCAGTCATATACTACTACTGAGCCTGTAAACAAGAGGAAATGTAGCATGGTAATTTTGTAGTAAAACCACCCATGTCTGACGAGTTCTAGCTTGATTTAATCAGAAATTAGTTTTCTTTAATCAATTTCCTAGCCATTTTCTTATCAGTAACAAAAAAACTTGAATGACTGAGGTTTGAAATGCCAATTATAGTTATACCCATATCCAGTGTGTTTTATTGTTATTTGAAAGTCCCTATAATTCAGAGAGGTTGAACTTTACATTTTTTCCATATCTATTGCTAGATACTACTTTAAAAAATCTTAAGGGGAGAACCTTGAAAAGGTTCTAGATTTTCTGCTCTGAGCAATGCACTTTCCTTTTCGTCTATTATGTATCTATGTGTTGTGAACATTTTCATATTGTGATCATATTGTATATACCCATTTCCCCATACATACCCAAGAAGTAACTTATATAACCTTTCAAAAATGTGTTATGCTTACAAAATAATCTCTGCCCCTCCCTTGTCTTGAATTCTTTCTTTTTGTTTCTTGTAGCTGTTGGAATCCTATGATACACACCACTGAACACCTTGGTCTTTTCATTTACTAACTTATTTTGGCTGACCTTCCATAGCAGCATCTGTCTCTTGCTTTTAGTTAGTTACCAGGTGATCTGCTTGGGCGAGTCTGGTTAAGCAGCACCTCCTGGTGTTGGATATTTAATTGTTTAGTTTTCTTCTAGTAGAAGTCTCTATCTGCAACCTTAAATCCTACCCTTTGTTATCACTTAAAGGTGTATTTCCCCCCAATTATTTAATCTTAATGTCTATATAAATGGTCATCATTTAGGAAAAAGTTGTATTGCTCTCTGGTTATCAGCAAGTGTGCATTAGAGCTCATTTGGATAAGTTCTAAAAGTATTATAAAGTATCTAAACTACTTGTAATTCCACCATCTAAAAGTAAATACTGTTGAAGTATTTTTTGTAGCCTTTTTTCTTTATGTTTAACATTTCCCCTTAGGTTTCACATAGATTGTGAACCATATGACTTATTCAAGAACAGGATGATCTGCAGTTGTAAGATGTTTGCCTTCATAACTTAAATATCCAGCAACTGAGGAATTGATAAACATATGCCTAATCACTTGGGATGCTAGGCATTTCATTTTAGTGAAAATTGTGTTTCAAAACATTTTGTGGGAATGGGCCTACCTCTTGTGCTTACATGTACACTTGCATATACAGGAAAATAAAGCAAAGGTAATAAACCTGGATATTTAAAGGATTACTGGCAAATGGTGACATGTAATTCCTCTTAAATATCAACTTTATGAAATTTCTTCAGTAGTGAAATACTTGTATATTCACAAATTTGTTACAAAAAATTATTTTTAAAACGTATGGACATCTAGTGGAAGGTTTTTTTTAAGATGCCATTTCAGATTTCTTCCTGTTCCACGTTCACCATGGATGCCAGTTTTATTCCCATCTACTAACACTAGGCAGGAAAATGTTAGCCAGACTTCTCCATTTTGTTAGAATTTAATGTAGATTGCTGCATATGGAAATCTTGCCTAGTTTCCCCATTAATTATCAAGTAAGATCAGTAAAGCCATTTTCAAAACTACATTTTGAATCAGTTTCTAGATTAAGATATTCAGATTACACTTAAATACCCCTTGAGATCCGGAATACCTCAGTACACTGAGGATCCAGGACTCACAGCTATATGGGGATGTGGGAAAATGTCATGTTCACACCATTCCTTATTTCTTCTGAGAGGAATTTTGAAGTGATGGATGTTTTGAAGGAAAGGCTGTTGAGGTGTACTGTGGCCCTATGAACTAATAAGTCTTTATCTCCTGATTTACTTACTGCAGACTAGAAAAAGTGACTAGCCAAGATATAGAAACAAGCTAATCATCCACTGATGGATGGATTAAAACGCGCACACACACATTATTTAGTCATAAAAAAGAATGAAATCTTGTCATTTTGGACAACATGATGGATCTCTGATCATAAGAGTTCTGTAGCTATGTAGGATGATTAACCAGACATATGGCTATTGGTTTGCAATGTACTACACAACTATCAGTCATGCAAACCAATAATCATATGTCTGGTTAATCATCCTACAGAAATACAGAGCTCTTGTGATCAGAGCTCTTATTTCACTTAGCATAATGCCCTACAGGTCCATCATGTTGTCCAAAATGACAAGACTTCATTCTTTTTTATAAAAAAAGAATTTATAAATAATGTGTGTTTGGTTTATACACACACACACACATATAATAGTTATATATATAATAGTTCATTTTTACATCATTTTGTGCATTTTTCCATCTCAGTTGTAATCTCCATGGGCTTCCCATCACCAAATCACCCATGTGCATTACCATAGTCCATTGTCGTTCCCTCCCCCCGCAACCCCCACTGTTTTTGATCCCATTCCCTGTTCCACCCCCATAAAATGTCTCTGGTATATAGCTGTTCATTATTATTATTATTTTCTCTCCTGGTCTGTTATACTTCTGCTATGAGTGAAACCACATTTTCTTTCTGGCTTATTTCACTAAGCATGATCTTTACCAGCTCCATCAATGTTGCAGCAGAAGGCATATGTTTATTTGTTTATTTATTTATTTTGGTTGCACAGTAATATTCCATTGTGTGTATGTACCACATCTTTTTAATCCAGTCATCCACTTTTGGGCATTTGGGTTGTTTCCAAGTCTTTCCAATTGTAAATAAAGCAGCAGTAAACATGGGTGTGCAGGTATCTTTTTGAATCAGTGTTTTTGTATCTTTTGGGTAGATACCTGGGAGTGGGATTGTTGGGTCATATGGAAGCTCCATTTGTAGCAGTTTGAGGAACCTCCAGTTTTCCATAGTGGTTGTACTAGTTTGCATTCCCACCAGCAGTGCAGGAGAGTTCCTTTATCTCCACATTCTCACCAACATTTGTTGTTGCTAGTTGTTTTAAGATGTGCCATGGGGTGAGGTGGTATCTCATTGTGGTTTTAATTTGTATCTCCCTTATTACAAGTGATGTTGAACTTTTTTCATGTGCTTGTTGGCC